GCCCAGGAAATAAGGCATCTGTGGAGGATGGATAGGGTGCTTATTGTACCTGTCGTTCTCTCCTGTACAGGTGTGATACCACACACACTACACAAAAGCCTGGGAACATTACAATTGAGTAGAAATACATACATCACACTACAGAAGGCCACTATATTGAATACATGCCACATTGTTAGGAAATTCCTGAATACAGACTCTGACACACACATTTAATTTTAGTTTTGTTTTGGTTGTTATGCCTTGACTCTTGTCCGGCATAGTACACAGCCACAGGTGTAAACCGAGTAGAACCCACTAAACCCAACATAATAATAATAATAATAATTGTTTTTATTGTACTAAAGGCAAATCTTGTTACAGGGGCGAGATTATTACACTGTTTCCTTTTTTCTTAATTTACACATAATTTTGCATAATTCAATTTTACATAATAAAATATGTATTAATTAAATTAAATTTTTAACAAACAATTCAATTTACATTTATTAATTTAGTATCAATCAATTTTTCTTAAAGCATTGATTGATTTACAATATAAATATTAATATTTAGCTTAAAATATTTGAAATGTTAGTATATTTAAGTAAATTATTATTATTTTTTAACAATTTGTTCATTAGTTACTCTTCAAAAAAGTTATTTGAACTATACATTTGAAATTTCAATAACTTATTCAATTTAACTTGATAATCTTGAATTTGATGTAATTGTAATATCTCAACAATTCTGTAAGAGTGACATATTTCAGAAAATTTCCACAGTCCTTTAGAAGGTGAATGATGGAAAACTCTTTTGAATTATGCCCGTAACACTGTTCTATTGAGAAATTGATATATTTTTATTTATATCTATATTTTTTATTATTTTATTAGATTCTGCAGGAATAGTTAGATTGTCTAAATACCATGGACAATAAACTGATTGAGCTAAAAATTTTTGGTCATTAATTATTGATAGGGAAAAAGCTGACTCCATCAATAAAGTATATCCATATTTCCAATCTTCTGAATTTCAAACAATCTGTATGAAATGCCAAGGATTTTAGAATATTATTAAATTTTAATTGCCAGAGATTTTTATCATTTTTCACTTTTTATGCTTTTTTTTTTAACATAATCTGATATATTTTATCAGAAATTTGAATTTTGTCTGTTTCATTGAGAAATAAATCATCCATTTCTATCATATAAAAATTAAATAGATATGGTGATATGGGATCTTGGAGAATTCCTTGGTTAAAAACCTGTTCAGGAAATATTTGATTACCATGTATTATATTAACTATATATTCAGAAAAAAGTTTCAAAATTGTACTAGAAAATTTTCTTCCAAAACTTTTTTCAATTTATTGATCAAAGTCTGAACATGCAGTGAGTCAAATGCTTTTGATATGTCAACAAATGCGGCTAATATTTTCCTATGTTTTTTAAGTAAATAAAGTTGTACTATTGATAACAGAAAAATTATTGCCATCTTACTTGTTTGTGCCTTTGTTTTTAATGTACGCAAATTGAAATTTAGAAATTATAATTTTTTAGTTAGCCATTTTTAGAATCTTACTGCAAGTATAAATGTAAAATGTTTCCTGACAGTTGATGATAATGATAATCGGTCAGTGATTCCCAGAGTCTTTTTTTGTCTCCTTTTTTATATATCTTAAATAATTTGACTAAATTCCAGGAATCTGGGAAATTTTGAGAAACATAGGCATTAAAGAAATCAAGTAAGACTTGTTTTCCTGATGGTGGTAATAACTTTAAAAATTTAACTGAAATTAGATCTACACCTGGTGATGAATTGTCTCATTTTATTTATCAAATCGTTTATTTCTTCAAGACTAAAAGGAAGATCCAAATCAAACTTTACCATCCACACTATCAACTTCCATTTATCACTTTCTTACCTTCATTAGAAATTTCTTTTTTCATTGATATTTTGTTGACTCCATTAACTTTTTCAGAATATTCTACAAGATTTTTTGCTTTTGTGTTCTGGTTCTTGGTATTTGATTAACTGATATTTTGTAGGCTATGATAACATAGTAATAAATCAATTATGTTAGTTGATAATGTATTAGTTAGTAATCTTATTGTATTTGAGAGTAAACATGACAGGTTTGAGGACTTTAGCCCAAGTTGTCAGCTTGGTTTCCAGGTGACAACTTGGACAATAGGTCCAAGTAAGGTGGCAATAGGTGACTGTATCATAAGCAATGACAACACATGTAGTCCTGAAAGAGTTGTTTCTAATGATAACATAAAGATCTAGAAAAAAACTGCAAAAAAATTTTAAACTTGGATTTCTTAGTCCTGAATTGGAGTGGCATATTCATAAACAAAGTAAACATAAACATCAGAGGCCACTTCATTCACCAAAAGTCACTGTTTGGGCTGCAATGTCGGCACAAGGAATAATTGGCCTGTACTTTTTCAAAGATCAAAGAGGTCACATAGTAACCATTAATTTGGAGCAATATGTGGAGATGATTAACAACTTTTTCACACCAGCTTTGCAAGATTTTGTTGGTTTTAATCGAAACACATGGTTCCAGCAGGATGGAGCAATGTCTCACACATCTAACATGTCTATACCGGTTGTTCATGAACATTTTCCTGGAAAATTGATATCCAGATGAGGTGACATAAACTGTCCTCCACATAGCCCTGATTTGACACCAGTGGATTTTTTCTTGTGGGGTTACCTTAAATCAAAGGTATGTAGCTACAATCCTAACTCTCTGGATCAATCAAAACAAAATATCTGAAAAGAAATGGCAGCAATCACAGAGAACACATGCCAAGCAGTTCTCAGAAATTTTACTTCCCATGTAGAAGTGTGCCAGTGAAATAACAGAACACATTTAGATGATATTATCTTTAAGAAATAAATTCCCAGGGTCTGTATTTTATTACAAAATTTTTTTTATTAAACTAATACATTATTTTAATATTGATTTTTTTTTTTTTTGAAAAAGACTTTTGGGATATCTTGTATTATGTTTAATAGAAAGTTTTTGCATATTATTAACAGCTGTCTTTATTTAACATAAATGTATGATTTAATTATAACATTCAATTATAAAGGACATTATCTTACATTATTTGCTAATGTGAGATTGTTTTCTTTGTTTAAAAGCTTATTTTAAACTTATTTCTTTACATTTTGTTTGAATAACACTAAGTTGAAATGTGTTCAGATAAAAAGGATATGCTGATATGCTTTTGAGTTTTGGAAAGGGTATAAAGCCATACAAACAATAAAAACAATTTGTAATGTGTATGGGGAAGATGCTACTAAAGTTTGAACATTAAAAAAGTATCATTCCAAAAGTTCTGAGCTAAAGGATACAAAACGTACAGGAAACCCAAAAGCTGTTGACAAAGAAAAATTACAGGAAGAAATAATTAAAAATCAATAACACACAATATACTGTATATAACCAAACATGGCAAAATAAGAGTAAACAAACAGTAACACAATACAGTAGCATACTAAGGAGGAATTGAATGAGTGCAAAATAATTATTATATACAATATATTACTTTATTTAATTTTTTTTTAATTCTTCCCAAATGGGGTTAAACCCAAATTCCTTCTGTAAGAATGGCCTTGAATTATATTATGCTATATACATCATAATTGCTTATAAAATCTGTTAAATAATTAAGAATTCCAGTAATATATTGGTTACTTTTTCTATATTGTTAACATATTTAATTTAATAGTTGATAAAATAACTCTTCATATGTGATGCATAAAATGTTATAATTTCTATTTCTGTATTACATATTCTTTAGTCAAAGTAGCATACAAATGTTTTTGATTAATCATAAGACACAGCACAACTCTAATAATTATTAAGGGGTCAGTTTATTACTAGATAAAACATTTTTCAAGACTATTATATTTTGTTGTCAGATCCAAACTTAATAACAATATTAACTAGAACATACAAAACATAGATTTGATTTAATGTTGTTATTAAGTTTGGATTTAATAATGAGATATAATAATCTTGAAAAAGCATTTTATCAAATAATAAACTAACTCTTTAAAAATTATCAGCATTGTCTTATGGATGCTATGAATATGGAGTCACTTATCAACAGAGAGCTTATAGATTAAAGTAAGAGTGATGCAGATTGCAGTGAATTAACTATTTAAACATTTTTCATAACACATATATTAAGAATAAATAGTAAAATAATTTTATTTCTTACATATTACAATAATTTTTTTTATTAGTATTTAGCCTATACCTGTGGATTAATTCGAGGAGCTCTTGCTAATCTTGGAATTATGAGTGTAGTTACAGCTGATGTTACAAATCCTCCAATATGTAAGTGAAAATAATCAAACTAAAATATACTTACATCATTTTCTTGTTTATAAAGTTAAACATTGGATAAAAATTTCATCTTTATGATTTATATAATTACTTGCCTATATATTTTAAGTATCCATAATTGCTCATATTCAGTAATAATAAATATACAAAGACTGACCATTTAATTTGCAAAATAATAATACATTTTTCTTTATTGTTATCATCTGAGTTGCCTTATGGTTTGCTCATGTTCAAAGTACTCTTGTCTGACCTGTACACACCTCTACTATCAATATATTTGTATGCTATATGCTTTCTGGAATCTATTTTTTAACAAATATTGAAAGGTTGTAATTTTGACTTTATGTACCTCCTTGTCTGATGCAAAACTGTTACCTTTTAGACCATTTTTGCATTCTCAGAAACTGGAAAAAAATCACAAGAGGCTAAAATCACAGGGAATGTAGCATGGACCTTTGCTGCAATTGATTACTGTTTGTCCATTTCTTGAGGGATTAGACCAAAAAGACAATTGAAATTTATGTCAAAATGTACCATAAGATGGCAGAACTAAGTTTTTTAAAAAATTTATAATACTACAGCTTTTAACAAATGTTTTAATGGTTATATTTATTTTACATTTTTATTATAAAAGAGAATAAAAACAGAAATGTTTTTTATTGCAGGCCTATTTTTGCAGTTAGTGGTAGAGTATACATAATTTATATAACTGAGAATTGGTAATTAATGAATGGAATTTGTAAAACTGATGAACTGATGAATAATAATTACATTTTGGGATAAACTTTTGATAAATGAATATTTTTTATTTATTTTTTATTATTTTGCTGTTACAGGATGCTACAAATGTGTCAACTTTTCTATATTGTGATTGCTTTACACTCATTCACACATAATTTATTAATTAATAATCCTCTCTTTGTGAGAGATAGTATCTTGGTGGGGTCAGCTTTATGTCATTTAATTCTGAGAATGTGAAGAGAGGAATGCAAGAATAGGATAAAGAATGTGTTCTAGAAATTCTGAGTATGTTTTCTGAAAGAATAGTACAATATCTATTATATGTTTCAGAAGAAAACAACATATATCTGTAATGAAATTCTGTAATGAAAATCTGTAATGAATTAAGATGGATAGATGAAATATTTTATCATTGAAAGGAAAATAATATTTTAGGGCAATGTATAATGGCTTATAAATGATAAAGATGTGTAAAGATGAAATGTGTAAATAATGCTCCACTATATGAGCTATGCAGTATTGGAAGCATAATTTAATGTTGTCTCATGGAGAAACCGCTTGACTTTAGCAAGTTCTGGATGTTTTTATGATTACAACAATGAAATTATTCTGAGACACTCAGTTCATGCTTCCTTATTCAGAGTTGTTCGAGGCACAAAATGTATGAATACACATTCTGTCAGAGATGATGCAAGAGTGATGTCTTTTGCTTCAAAACAATTGTCAATGGCCAATTATTTATAAAAAACATAGTAATGAAATTGAGAAAGGAACTGATCAGCACTTATGGAATCTAGTCATGATGCTCCAGAAAGGGTACAACAAACATATATTGTATTTTCCCAGAAATTTGTATGGTGAAAAATATGGTTATGATTTTTTGAATTAAAATGATCAGCCATTGTATGATTTCAGAATAATTGTAAAATTTTTATTAATTCTTAAATTTATTAATTCTCTATTTGAAATTTGAATAATTTAGCTGTAGAAAAAAACAACTCAACAAATCCAATTTTTGATTAAAGCCAGATAATCTGCTGAATTATTGGGCTATGATTAGGCTAAGTTAATAATTTTATACAAAGTAATTTGTCTAAAATAAGCAGAGTAGCTTCCATTCTTATTAAAATATCACAAGATGGTGACTTAACTGCCTATCTCTAGAAAAAATACTTTGTATCTAATTATTAACTTAGCTTAATTATAGCCTAATAATTTGGTAGATTGTCTGGCATTAGCTTTAGTGAAAATAAAGTTAGACAGATCATTGTTTTAATTTATTTTAAACTTATTATAAATCAAAGATTATATTAATATATTTAGAATTAAAAATTAAAATTACCTTCCTTAGATATGTAGTAAAAGTGAACAAAATCCATTATATTCGGTTTAAGAAACAAATGCTTAAGTTATTAAGCTATAATTAATTATAGGGAGTATTTTTAAAATGTTTATTTATTAATTATTTTTACCTCTGTGTCTTTAATGTTTTATTTTTTTTCTTTTATATTGTCTACTTGGACCTTGTTTATAAATAGGACTTATTATACTGGTGTAGGATTATTAATTTAATTATTTAAAATCAGATTATTTGCTTAATATAAATTTTAATTTATATATATATATATTTTTTTAAATCACACAAGTATGTTTATGCCTTTTCCAATATACTGTATTATATTAAACATTTCCTGGAGTGTAAATATGTACTTAATTCAATTCTGTTTTTTTTTTTTTTTTAATCTTATACATTTTTTAATTCTGCAATTGAATTTTAATTTCTACAGTTTTTTAAGATTGTTGATTTACTTTTCTTAATAGATAATATTGGATAATACATATAATTATAGTCAAGTTTCTTCTGAACTGTAATTAAATCATTGTATAATGTATAAGTGATGATTTTAATTATATTTATTGATACTAATTACTAATTTACTATTTAAAATTTACTCTAATAATGGAATTCTTAAATTCCAATTTATACAAAAGAGAAAAATGTACAGGTAACCCCCATATAACACGGGAGTTACGTTCCAAAAATTTGCTGTGTTATGAGAATCCATGTTATACGAAATAAAGAACTAGTGCAAAAAGGGGGGTTAGGTTCCAAAAATTAAAAGACATGCTGTTAAATCCTTATTTAAATCAGATTTATTATTCATTTTTTTCATAGGTAAAATACTTATTTATTATTTAAGTAGATATTTTACCAGAGGATTATTCATCCTATATGATGATCTCAGCATGAGTATCATCAACTGGTAACAGGTTTGGGTGTGTTCGTTAATAGCAGTCACTCTGCAACAGGAGTGCGCTGCTGTTTGTAGGCATTTAGGAACGATGGTGAAAGAAAGATGGCGGCACCTGCACTATCGATAGTATCGTGATGGAGGAATCTATAATTATAAAATGAGCTTTTAGAGGCAAAAGAAGGGTCCCAATTGTAAAATATAACCATTAAATGGATTATTTGTTGAAAGAGCATTCAAAGTAGCCACGAAAACAATTAGAATGCTCGCGCGGAGTTATGCAGAAGTATAAAAGAACACACCCTTTATTACATTTCATGTTGTACGAGGGTTTTACCCAATTCTCGAACCGTGTTAGAGTGAATCCGTGCTATAGAAGTGCCATGTTATACGGGGGTTACCTGTATTGTAGAATGATGGCTCATGAAAATCCCTATAATGTATGCAATTCTTGGAAAGCTTTCCATTTTATATTTTATTCTATTGCATTTAAGGACTTGTCAAAATTGAAATTATTAACATAAAATTTCTTTTGTAATAGGAAAATGAAGTTGTTACTTTAAAATAAATGTCTTTTTCATGTCAAATATAAAAACATATTTTATTAAAAGTCTACCTTAAGAAATTTTTTCTGCTTCATTTGTCTTGATAAAATAAGGTTTTTTAGGTAATATAATACAGTA